TTTATTTTTAAAATTTTTTGTAGAAATGGCATCTTACTACATTGCCTGGGCTGGTCTTAAACTCCTGGGCTCAAGTGATCCTTCCACCTTGGCCTCCCACAGTATTGGGATTACAGGTGTGAGTCACCACTCCTGCCCTCTGAATCAAATTATGAAGAGAGAATCAGGTAAATCAACTACAGAATATTCTATAAGATAACCAGTCTCAAGCCTGTAATCCCAGAACTTTGGGAGGCCGAAGTGGGTGGATCGCGAGGTCAGGAGTTTGAGACCAGCCTGGCCAACATGGTGAAACCCTGTCTCTACCAAAAATACAAAAATTAGTCGGGCATGGTGGTGCATGCCTGTAGTCCCAGCTACTCGGAAGGCTAAGACAGGAAAATTGCTTGAACCCAGGAGGCGGAGGTTGCAGTAAGTCGAGATTGTGCTACTGCACTCCAGCCTGGGTGACAGAATGAGACTCTGCCTCAAAAGAAAAAAAAAAAAAAGTCAATATCCTGCAAAATAAAACCAAAGCCACGGGACACTTCTGGTTAAAAGAGATTAAAGAGACAAAAAACTCAGATGCATGTATAAATATTTTTTTGCAGCCTGAACTGAAGAATCTATAAAAGATATTTTGGGGGCCACTGGGGAATTTAAATATGGATTGTAAATTACATATTATTGAATTAATATAAGATTTTTTAGATGTGATAATGATATTGCATGTAGGAGTGTATTCTTAGGAGATACATGCTGAAGTATTTAGGGGTGAAGTATCATCATGTCTGCCACTTCTTTTCAATGTTTCAGCAAAGATGAATAATAAATAAATAAAGCAAACATAGAAACATGTTAATCACTTGTATTTCTAGGTGGATAGTGTACAAAATAGTGGTTTGCCATATATTTTTACTTTACTGTTGGTTTGAAATTTTTCAAATGAAAAACTTGGAGGAACATTCTTGGCTCTTTCATCTAAGTTATTCATTCTAAGTTTCTGAATTCATTTGACATTTATTGAGTACCTACTATGTATGACATATTCTTGTAAGTGCTGGGAAGTGGTGATGAAATAGATGGAAAAGATCATTCTCTTTTGGTTTCCTCATCCATAAAATGGATATAGAGTAAGCATACACCGTATAAGCACAATGCTTGGTACAAGAATGCATTTAATGACTGTCGGCTGTTATAATCAATCAGCTTCATCCATTGTTGATTTGATTTCATCAATTTGATGTTTTCGGTCTTAAACTACAAATAAAAAATGTGTGATCTTCCATCTTATGTATTCTTCCCAATCCATTTCCTGAAGTTACTACTCATCTTACTTTTTGTTAATATTATTAGGGCATTTGAAGTCTTGGAGAGAAGACATGATATTAAGTCAAAGCAAAGATGAAGTTAAAGTGGTCAGGGGTATGTTACATTTTTCTTTTCTTTTGACATAGGGTCTCACTCTGTCACCCAGGCTGGAGTGCAGTGGTGCGATCATGACTCACTGCAGTCTGTCTCCCGAGTTCAAGCAATCCTCACACCTTAGCCTCCGGAGTAGCTTGGATTACAGGCATGCGCCACCACACCTGGCTGATTTTTAAAATTTTTAGTACAGACAAGTTCTCACTATGTTGCCCAGGCTGGTCTTGAACTCCTGAGCTAAAGCAATCCATCTGCCTCAGCTTCCCAAAGTGTTAAGATTACAAGTGTGAGCCATCGCACCCAGCCATAGTTTTAAAATTAGGTTTGTACATATGCAAGTGTCCTCAGGTTGAAAGTTTATATTCATAGAGATTTTAATGATGATTATGTTCTGGTCTAAGATTGGGTTATAAACCAGAAGAAACTAAAAAAAGGTTTCTAAATTTATTTTTCTAAATACTAGATCTTAAAATGATTAAAAACACTCAAAGTTCCTTAATACTCTTCCCCAAGAATCTCGCTTCTTGTACACAGGGTGCACACTTAACATGTTATTTTATCTATGAGTGAGAACATTCCTTCCTTCCATGCTGCTCCACCTACTCATGTTTTCAGATGCCAATGGCTTGGCCTGATAAATGCATGGTTCATTCTAAGCCCATACCATAAATTTATCACTAAGTTCCAAAGGTTTCCTTTCAGTGTAGACCGTGATCATAGCACATAATTTGTTAGAGTTATTTTAGTGCAGTAGTACTAAAAAAATAGAAGCTAATGTTCATTCACATAATTTGCAAAGCTAATACTTAAAACTGATGGGAGTGATTCAATAATTCAAAACAATAAGTGATATTTCTGAGGTTAAGTTTATTTTCAAGAATTCAAAAAAATAAAACAAAACATTTTTATTTTCCTATTTCCCTCTTACAGGTTTCAAGAAGACTGGAACAATTATTCATATATTTGTATGACTATCAAGCATCCCACATACCTTAAGGATTGTACACTGCATTTCGATACAATCTTCTTCACTAACAATATAGTAAATTATTTTTATACATTCTGGGTGGGATTAAAATAAATAACCATAGAAATAATTTAACAAGTCTTTATAGAGCACCTAGTGTGTGCCAGGTTTTGAAGACACAAAAATAAATAAAAAATGGTCCCTGCCATTAAGCTCACAGTGTAAAGGGGCAAACACACAAATAAAATAGACAACTTAATGTTACATGACAGCTTTGAGAGAGGTCTATACAAAGAACTACAGGAACATTTAAAAAGTCACTTAATCCAGAACAGTAGTAGTCATGGATTGTTTCCAGGCCAAGATGATAAGTTTTACAATAGATATTGCCAAGAAAAGAATCAATGGTGGGGGTTAGTCCAGGCATATCAAATAGCCTGCGCAAAGGCAGAGAAGTGAGAAAATTTTTATGAAATAGTTTTGTAAGACTGAACTAGAAGATACAGGGTGGGACAGTGGTGAGAGAAGAGGCTGGAGAGGTAGGCCAGACCACATCATTAAAGGCCCTATGGGCTCTAGTGGGGAATTTTGATTTCTACCTGAATGCAGTCAGAAATTTAAGTTAGGGGTGATGTGCTAAATTTGGGGTTTAAAAAAGATTATACTGCTAACAGTAAAAGGAAGGAACTGGAGGCAGGAACATCAGTAAGAGGATATTTTAGAAAGCCTAACTTCAAATAAGGACAAGAATTAAGCAATGAGGCAGAGATAAAGATGGAGAAGAGGTGAATTACTTAGATATTTGGATGATAAAATCAGTAAGAATTGACTCGACTGGACATGGAGAATGATGGAGACAAGTAAAATATGGTGATTTTCTAACAGGACATGTCATTCACTGAGATAGGAACTGGAAGAAGAAATTTCATGAGATGGTAAGTTTTGATTCAGGTGTTTATATATAAACTATCTTTGGATACATTATATAAAATCCAAAAAAATTATTTTTATATATATAAATAATTATATATATATATACACACACATATATATCCAAAAGATAGTAGCATATGTATTTCTGGAGCATCTCAGGGAGATCTGGTGTTGGGACACAGACATGGATGCCATCAGCACCAAACATGGTAGTGAACACAGGAGTAGTAGATGGGATCACCAAGGATGTTAGAGTATAAAGAGGACAGGACAACAGGCGGAACCTTGGGGAACACTAACATGTAATGAGTAGATGAAGGAAAGTGAGTCTTTGGAGGAAACTGAGAAGATGGGTTAGAGTAGGGAAAGAAAAGTCCAAGAGGCTATAGCTCCAACCCATGGAGGAGAGAGTTTTAAGAAGTGTTTATGTGTGTCAGTGTGAGTGTTTATGTGTGTGAAATATATTAACAAGTAGAATGCATCCAGTGGATTTAGACATTAAGTCACTTGTAATTTGGATACCAACAGTTTCAACCATATAGAGTGATGGCCATATTATAGCAGATTAAGACCGACTGGTGAGGAAGTCAGAGTGAAATCTAAGATGCTAATGTAAGCCACAAATAATACATATTTGAAAAATGGGCAAAGAAACCACATCAGGTGGGGGTCCCAGTATGATGGTGAAACTGAATTTGAATTAACTTAGGGAAGCAGATGAGGAATGGCTGGGACCAGAGTCTGGAATATAATCAGGCCTTATAGCTTTCCCGTACTTTGAAAATTTCCAAGTGCTTTCTTATCTTTTATGAAATAAAATTAATAGTATACCTTTCTTTCTTTTTTTTTTTTGAGATGAAGTTTCACTCTTGTTGCTCAGGCTGGAGCGCAATGGCGTGATCTTGGCTCACTGCAACCTCTGCCTCCCAGGTTCAAGCGATTCTCCTGCCTCAGCCTCCCAAGTAGCTGGGATTACAGGCGCCCACCACCACGCCGGGCTAATTTTTGTATATTTAGTAGAGACGGGTTTCACCGTGTTGACCAGGCTGGTCTTGAACTTCTGACCTCGGGTGATCCACCCACCTTGGCCTCCCAAAGTGATTGGATATCAGGCGTGAGCCATGGCACACAGCCCCTTTCTTTTGTTAAGAGTAAATGGGCAGAACAGAATGTTGTTGGGTCTAGAAATTATACTCTATAATCATCAGTGGAATTGGAGAGAAGACCTAGGAAGAGACAGGCTAGCAGTCTTCAAATATCAGGCAATCATAGAGAGGAAGGACTGAATCAGCCCGGTTCTAGAGGGTGGAAGTGGGACTAGAAGGCAAACATTACAGAGAGGTGGTCTTCAGTTCAAGGCTAGACTACAACTGGACTGTTCTGTGACATAACATATACGCTATTAGTAGAAGTACAGGATTTGAACTTGGGCTGGCTGACTGACAGTGTTCCTGTTGAGAAAATTACTGAATAGTCCTGGAGACTTGACTGCCTGATTTTCAAGGAATCTTCCAACTCTAAGAAGATAGTAGGAGACAATTAATTATCTACTGCTCTATTCAACATAGGGAATTTGCATATAATGGGGCATCTTTCTAATATTTGCCTATTTGTTAAATATTGGTTTCCTGGATTCTTATATTTAATGCTATAGAGAACAGTTTTTAAGAAGAAAACCCCACACTAACTAAAGCGTTTTGTAGACACTTTTTACTATGGTGGTAACCACAGATTCAGAATAAACAATTTGTTATAGTGAGTAGTATATCATCTGTTTTATGAAAAAACAGAAACAAAAGTTTTAAAAAATTAAAATAAAGGTTCCTAAAAAGTTATAAACTTTAACAAAGACAAGTGTTAAGGATTCTTTAGAATAATAGTTTTTAATATGGAGAAAACTTTGTCTTGGTATCTAAGAATAGCACACTAGATGGTGCTATAAGGCTGTCAGAAAGAGAGTTTTACCAGGCTAGTGTGGCATTCTGATGGTAGTTAAGTGTTCTGGAAACTTTCCACATACTTTCAGCTCCTGAGAGCCATTCCAGGTTTATATAAAAGTAATGGGAATCTCAATTGGACAAGCTTTAGCCCTAAGATGACATTAACTTAAAACTAAACCACAGGCTTAACACATTTAACATAGTTTCACTATTTGATATTTCAATCTGATTCCACTGAAATAGAAATGTTAAAGTCATTAAAATGCCAATGTATTAATTTAAATGTATTGCTATTAATTTCACTTAGCTAGTCTTCCCATGAGCCTAGTTATATCCACCACTTAATGAATCTTTAAGTCAGTTTCAAGTGGCTTCCTGAAATTTTGAATTATCATTAAGCTGAACATACAAATCACTCTTTCATTTAGTATTACGAATATATTAACACAAATACATGAAACATTATATTTGGAAATCACTGTATCAGTATATTATTTCTTATAAAAATAACATTTCATGATTTTTCCACATTACAATAAAAGCAGAAAAATTTTACTAAAGTGCAAAACAAAAATAAAGCTTTACTTTTATAATATTTCCATTTCACTTTCTTTTAAAAAGGTCAACAACAACAAAATGAATGGATAAAGATATAGCTTTTGCAACCTAAGACTCATTTGAGTTTTAAATTTTCAAAGACCTGAGATTTATTTGTGATTTTTTTTCCTCCTTATCTTTCCAGTTCTGCTTCTAGAATTTCCCCCCATGTATCTGCATCCATTGGGTACATGGTTTTTTCTGGTAGGCTAATGGGAGAACAAATGTTGCTGTATCTGCCACTTAGCCATTCGTGTTTCACTTTACTCTTCTGGTAATTCCTCAGCAGTATTACCTGAAAGAGGTAAATCACCATTAAAAAAGACTGTAGTAGGCGGTTGGTTAGTGAATGTGTTTAAAGCAAGAGAAACAGATTGACAGGGCTGAAAAAAAGAGTAAGTATTTACATTGATATACACATATTTTAATAAATTTATGTGTCTGTGTATGTGTGTGTATGTATATGTGTATTTATACAGAGTGCGCCATACAGTTTACTGGGGGTTTGGGATAAGGTGAAGTGAAAAGAAGGAGCTAATTCCCTTCTGGTTAATAGGGGAAAATTCCCTAATTTAGAATTTAAAAAATGCAAAAGGATAAATGAAAGATAGTGTGGAAAGAGTGTGGTTAGCAGGAAAAGGCTCAACTCATTTCCAAAAGTCAACACACTGTCTGTGTTATTCTGCATATGCAATTCTGTCTCCTCCAAGCATAAGTTAGAACTGACTCAAACCTGCTATCATAACACCGTCAACAACACTGCAGATCGCAAAGATTAAACTTACCCTCCAGGAATAACCACTTTCTAGATCATCATCTATTTCTCTTCGGCACACAGCTCTTACAGTCATGCAGTGAGGTTTCCATAAAGAGTCACTGTTTCTTATGGTGTAATTCCAGCTCCTGCATGTCAATGAAGCCCTGCATAAACTCCGAATGTCCAGCTGACTGAAAATTTTAAAAGTGAGTTCTTGAGGCAGCAGTTCAACAAAGTTGTTTTCACTCTCATTTTTTTCCTTCTCAGCATCCACAGAGTTCACTTCTGTGTGAGAAACTCTTGAATTACTGTTTCTCTTGGAGTTTTTATGCATAGCTTAATGTTTTAGTAAATTTTCCTCATATGTAACCTAAAAGGCAAGATTTAAACATGCTCAGTCTCCAAATAGGAGTAGAAATCCTACTTTGAGTCAGATGCTTTTTGGGTATAACTTCAGAACTCTTTCTTGACTTTTGCTTCTCAGTCTGTAAAATGGACCAATGCTGCCCCTTTCCTGAAAGTTCTTGCAAGGATTAACAGTGATAGTGTGTAAAACACCTAGTCTTCCTACATCTGAAATGCACCTGGGAGGCACCTCAACATATTAGCTTCACTCTTACCCAGGTTGGAGTGCAGCTGTGTCATCATAGCTCACTGCAGCCTCAACCTCCAGCCTCAAGCGATTCTCTTGACTCAGCATCCCCTCATTTTTTTTTAAACAAACAAACACAAAACCAAAAACTGTTTTTTGGAGAAATGGTTTTTGCTATGTTGCCCAGGCTGGTCTCGAACTCTTGTCCTCAACCAATCCTTCTGCCTCAGCCTCCCAGAGTGCTAGGATGACAGGTAGGAGCCACCACACCCGGTACTTTCGTGCCTTTGAAAATATGTATGAGTCAATCCTATTAAACTCCTGAATACTTGTTGTATATAGGAACTGATGCCTCATCATTAATTTGCAATTTGTGGCTTAATCACAAACTAGATGGACTTCTAGTTGTATAAGAATTTTATTACTTGTATCTAATGGGTAGGTAGGTGCTTACATTTGACACAAATACTATCTGAAATGGACAAGAAGATGAGATCTGGATTATGAAACAAAGTCTTAAATATTCAACTCAGTCATAAGAGTGGTGTTTTAAGAAATGGCCCCTTGAAGCTATCCTATATGCATAGTTAATTACGAGCTAAGGGTAACAGTCACTGAAGACATCAAGCAACAGTGAGTGACAACTATAAACAATGTTGAGAACTCAGCTAGGTATAGTATGTGACTATTTGAAGCCCAGATATAAAGCTCAGCTTCAGCTAATTTACCTAAGGTGAATGGTGTAGGCTTCCCAAATCAGTTGAAAGCATGACTGGGTACATCACCACCCTTGAGTTACTTTTGTATATAAAGACAGCTGGTATTCACTTAAAATCAGTTTATTCCATTTTGCACTTCCTTTTATAACGGGGGTTGGATGTGCAAGAGGAGGGGTTTGAGATACAGCTAAATACTTCTTTTAACTCAGCTGAACACAAATCTCTTTTCTAGACGAGCTACTCAGCTATGTTTCTGGACTTCACAAGACCACGGTGGTTCCTATTCATGATCCAGATTAGCTGTGGTGGCTGGAACTGTAGTCTGTGTTCAACAGAGGTCTTCCTCTTGAGGGTTTGGGGAAGTAAGAAAGCAAACTGGTAAAAACGAGTGAGTCAAGAGCAAGTTTTTGCCATGCACCTTGGCCCCTCCCACCACCAATACAAACCAAAGCCAAACCACAAGGTTCTTGAAAAGAATCTCACATTAGGAAAACGTTACAGTGTATTTAAACGTTACGGTGTGTTTATCCACTTCTCCCAGGATCTTACTGGGAGAATAAAATGCCTCCCCTTGTGGAATTCCTGCAACGGGAATGAAGGTTTTTGAATTTCACAGCAGGGGATGCCTTGGCGAGGTTCTAAAATCCCACTAGGAATCTTTCTTCTACGTCCAGGTTCGCCTGGATGCCTGGAAACGACCCCTCTTCTGCCCTTTCTCCTTTATGAATCGAGCTTTGCTGAATTCTCTCTCAAGTGAGGTAAAAGCTCGTCTCCCTTTCAACTATCACTCGGAGGGATAGATTGGCGGCAGCGCATAAGGTGGGGCGGGGAGCCCCACTCAGCCCACATCCCACGGGTCAGGGCTAATCACCCCACGTCCCATCTGAGCCACCTTCCTTGTGTCCTGCGCGGGTTGCAGCTGCTGGAAGCCAAGAACACGGAGCACTGACAAGTGACAACAACAACCGTCAGCGCTGTCACTGCGGCTCCAGGCCGCGGAGGGAAGGCTGAGCTTGCGTCAGGGCCGCGTCCCCGGGAGCGTAGACATCTAAGCCAACGGGAATGGAAGATCCTCCTACCTACTGGGCCGCGATGGCTTCTCCTCCCGCGATTTAAATCCTCCGGAATTCGAATCTTTCCCCATAGCTCTTCTCTTCCCGCCCACCTAAGCCCCACCCTGCTGACTCGGAACTCGCGCAGGCGCCGAGAGGGGGCGCGTAGTGCCTTTGGGGATTGGTAGTTTTTTCCAGGGCGTCTTAGCTCGGGAAAGGAAGTGAAGAAAGGCGCCAGGACTACAAGGCCCGGCGTCCTCCAAGAAGGGAGGGAGGTGAAAAGGGTGGTGGGGAATAAGCCGGGGTTTTTAAACAATAATTTTGAGGCGGCGTGACTGGGGAATCCCCGATTGCGTCATCAGTAGGCGTGGAGGGACGGGACTCGGGAAACTGCGCTGGGGCTGGGCTCTGACAGGACCGGCGCAGGCGCGGGTAGCCTTTGCGGCCCTCCCCCGCTGTTTTTCCCAAGTCCTGGGCTTTCCCCGCGGAAACAGCGGAGGGGCCAGTCTCCTGGCGAAGGGGCCTAATCCTTGCCCGCCATGCCCGGGGGCTTCGAGCTGCAGCCGCGGGACGGCGGTCCCCGGGTGGCCCTGGCGCCCGGGGAGACTGTGATCGGCCGCGGGCCGCTGCTGGGAGTAAGTGTGGGCGGGGGCTCGGCGGACCCCGAAAGCCGTGGAGGTCCGCTCCGGCTCCTGAAGACCGGCCCTAGTCCTAGCCCTATTCCCCACCGCGCTGGTCCGCCGGTCTGGATTTTATAAGTTTGGGGCCGCAAGTTTTTCAGTTACCTTTAAGCAATTCACAAACATTTCTTTATGTTGCTTTAAAAACACTGACTGTATTACCATTATTATCTTTTCCGGGGTTTGGCAAACTAGAGTCTGGGGGCCAAATCCAGCCTATGTTTGTATGGCCCCGTGAACTAAGAATGATTCTTAAATTCTAAAATGTAAAATATAAACAAAAAACCTACCAATTTTTCCGGGAGAATATTGCTGCAAGGGTTCAGGGTATTGTGGCTTGTCCTGTAAAGCCTAAAATATTTACGGTAGTCTCTGGCCCTTTACAGAAAAGTTTGCCAAACCGTGATATTATGTCTTCTAGGCTAATTTAAGCTTTGGTCTCCTTTGCAGAGCTGTGTGGACCTTATTTATTTATTTGTATTATTTATTATTTCCAGTAAAATGAGTAGCTAATCCTTAATAAGGAATGTGTATAGCGTTCGAGTCATTGGTCTAAGGAGACATTATCTATACCAACATCTTTAACTGTCAGGTATTTTTATTATCCTCATTGTTCAGATGAGAAAATTGAGCCATACATACGTTATTTAAGGTCCATGCATAAGCTTTTGGACACAGTGCCACAAAACTAAATATTCTCTACCTTCTTTGGGAGGTTTAGGAATGAGAACATTTGCATATTGCATTCCAGAATTCTATAGAGCTCTTCTTAAGTACATCTAGTTTTTAATTTTTTTCTTTAACATTCAGCATTTCTTTTTAGTGCTCACTGTGTAGAACATTTTGCAGATTCTAGCACTGTGGGGCATACAAAGATGAATGGAACATGGGTCCCTGCCCGCTAGGAGTTTTCTCTTGGGACTGGGAGACACCTGTGTCAGTGAGCTAACACCAAAGAGTGAGGAGTGTTTACTGTTATCCTGATTGACTTCCAGAGTCTAAATGGAACCATTGGTACTTGCCTTAGGTCCCTTCTGGGAGCAGGGAAAGGAGTGGTAGTTTAAGATTGTGTTATGGAAATTGGTCCTAAAGGCGTGTGTGTGTGTGTTGTGTGTTGTGTACATACACATGTGCATGTAGTACGGTTATTGAGACAGTAGATATTCAATTGCTGTTCTTTTTTTTAACTGACAAGTGATTATTTATATGTTTAACATCATTTCAATTTTTTTTTCGTCGTTTATTAGCCTTACAAACACTGGAAGGAACTGGAGGCTTTATTTTTCTGTTTTTCTTTTAAATTCGTAGGTTAGAAACTTAGAGTATGTGTTTCATCTAGTAATCATGTGTCAGGACTAATGGTGACTAATGAGTTTTGACTTGCTTAAGACATTGTCACCAGTAGAGTACCTGGGTCTGGTTAAAAGATGGATGAATTTTAGGGCCGTGTTGTAGAAACTTGGCAACAGATTGCATACCCTTTCATTATTTGTAGCTTGTTCTTTGTGTTGTCGACTTGCTAATGTGAGATGAGCCTATTTGGTATCTGTTTTTTAAAATGATAGGGAGTGAAAGCTGGGCAATTATCTGGTCAAGATCTTGCTTTTCCTTTTAAAATAACATTCAGGGATGAGATTCTGTTGCCAAGGTTGGCAGGTATCAGAAGTGCTTATGAATGACATCCTAAGTGTGTTAAAGGAAAAATTTGGAGAACAAACAAATCACCTTGTAGTTTTTTCGATTTTGGAGCTGACAGATGCACTCGATTCTTCTCCGCAGTGGTTAAAACACAACATAAGGGCCCCTGTTTCCAACAACAGGAATTCCAGTGAGACTTATTTTTGTTTTGTGAGAGAGCGAAGACTGAGTTCTAAGTGGAAAACTCAGTAAGTTCATTGTAAATTGGTATACATTGGAAATGATTAATATAAATAAGGATGATTTTGAACTTTCTTAATTGGGCACGTTTTTCTGAGACAAGCTTCACAAACCTTGATGGCCACACAAACATAAAAGTTTATAATCCCACTGTGTAAAATAGTCTTGGTAGTAAAACAGTTTGACAATGAGAATATTTTTATATTTTTACCGTGGTAGGAAAACACAGAGAAACCTGTCACAAACAAAGGACAATGAAATTTAATCTTTCTTGTGCCCTTTGCTTTCACGTGAGTCATCAGAGAACCCCAGCTCTTTGTTTACTAGATTTTGATTCTGCTTCATGATTGGCATCAGTTAGATGGTTTTACAGCAGGATTTATCTTCAGAGAACTTAAGTTAAAACAGCCAATCCAAAAGATTACATATTGTGTAATTCTATTTATATAACATTATTGAAATTGCAGATTGCAAAATTTCAAAAATGGAGAACAGATTAGTGGTTGCCAAAGGTTAAAAAATTAGGCAGGAGGGCAGATGGGAATGGATATGGCTATAAAATAGCAACGTGAGGGATATTTGTGGTGACAGAAATGTGCTTTGTCTGGACTGTGTCAGTATCAATATCTTAGGTTGATGTATTGTACTGTAGTTTTGTAAGATGTTACCATTGGGGGAAACTGGATAAATGGTACAAGAGATATTTCTATATTATATCTTTCAACTACATGTGAATCTACCATTATCTTAAGAAAATTTTATTTTAAAGGGTTTTATAGAACAACATGTCAAGCACTGTTAGGCCAAAGTATTTGCTTTATGATTTTTAATTCAAGCTGTTACACTCTTAAATGAAATCTACTATTTTTGATTTCAGATTTTTCTTCTTTTGTTTTGACAGCAGGGATTATATGACACATTTCCTTATGATCGATTTCCCTTCTAGGGATATCTAGTGAGACTTTCTCAATGTAGATGTAATTAAATTGACTGCTTTGATTAAAAAGAGAAGAGTCCCCAGTTGGGGGAACAGGGAAGGTCATAGGCTTCAGTATAGACTCTTCAGGTGGCATCAGTTCACCACTTCTAAGAATGTTGTAAATGTTCTACAAAGTTTACACAAAGTAACTATCCCCTGACCTGGCAGCTCTGTACTGGGGAACTGCTTGTTGCAGAATCCTCCTGGCTGTCTTGGAATGCTGTTCCTACCCCCTCCAACGTAGGTTTCTTCCCTGACACTTCCTTTATTTCTAGATTTGCCCTTCCCTCATTTTATTTTTAGCCTACAACCAGTACCTAGCACATAGTAGGCCTTCAACACATGATTTCTTCTTCCTTCCATTTCTGCATCTCAGCCTCTCATTCACTCTACCCTCAAAAAGAGCCTATTTGTGACTTAGTTATGAAAAAGGGTTATCATTGAGTTTTGAAGTGAATTTAAATATAGTAAAGATGCAGTCCTACCAACTGCTAGATCTTAAGGAGTAACATTCACAATGAATTAAGTTTTAACATTTTTCCTATTTTGTTGATGGATAATTCGCTAAATTCAGGAAATAGTTGATAAATAAGTACTATGGTTGGATGGGAGGGAGTATAGGAGAAATAAAGATGAATGAGAAACAAGTCCTTGCTCTCAAGAAACTTACAGTTTTGTAGGTTTGAGAGACAAATAAACAAGTATTAATAACTAAACAAGGTTACAGCCTCACACGGGGACTGGAGCCAGGCTGACACTTGGAGTGAGCGAAGTGGGAGGGAAGAAGAAACAACATAGGGACATTGATAAATGACAACAGTTCTGCCTCAGTGTTGGGAAGGCCACAAGGAGAGGGTCTCTGTGCAATCCCTGCTACTTTCCCTTATTCCCACTTGATAACTGTCATACTGTTTTTTTAAGAATAGTAAGAAATTTGAATTTTTAGATATAATCCTCGATTTTTAAAAGGTCACATTTTATTAAAAGTTTTGTTTAAATACTATGAGTCTGTTGATGAAGAGTTAAATTCTATAAAATATTTCCAGAGATTTATTCTGAGCCAAATATGAGTGACCATGGCCCATGACACAGCCCTCAGGAGGTCCTGAGAACATGTTCCCAAGGTGGTCAGGGTACAGCTTGGTTTTTATATATTTTAGGGAGGCATGAGACATCGATCAAATACATTTAAGAAATACATTGGTTTGGTTCAGAAAGGCGGGCCAACCCAAAGCAGGGGCTTCCAGGCTATAGGTAAATTTAAACATTTTCTGGTTAACAATTGGTTGAGTTTATCTGAAGACCTGAGATCAAAGGAAATGTGCAGGTTAAGATAAAGGCTTATGGAGACCAAGTTTTATTGTGCAGAGCTCTCAGATCGCAGACTTTAGAGATAGCAGGTTGCAAAATGTTTCTTATCAGACAGGAAAGGGTTCCTGGCTCTTAATTGATTATCTCCTGGATCTGGAAAGGAAGGAAGGGAAACAAGGGGGAAAAGGGATTCCATGTAGAATGTGGATTTTTCCCACAAGAGACTTTGCAGGGCAATTCCAAGGTATGGCAAAGAAATATATTTTAGGGTAAAACATTTTGATTTTCTTCCTTGTTATGCCTGAGT